ATTCTAAGAACAAAATTAGTTCGATTGTGATGACTATATATATCAATTAGTGACAGAATACAATTTATTGTTTTCTGTCAATTTTGACAGCTGTTTGGGGGATTATTGTATGAGGCCGAACTCTGTCTACTTTGCTGTAGGCCTATACTGAAAGGCTGAATACGTTAAAGCCTACCTAATCACTGTAGCCTTACGGATGAACAAATAAAATTAAAACCTTATGAATAAATAGGATATCTTGTATGATACTGCATGATCCAAATATAGTATTATTTGATACATTTTTAAGGTTTTCATAACATTTTGGGCATGGAATCCACGCTGAATCCACCCTTCTGATGGGATCAGTTTAATCCAGATTTTCTGGATCAAAGTGATCCAAATCCTACAAAAAAGTTCTGAAAAACCCTAAATGAAGGTTTGATCCGGATCAAAACCAAGATTGGATTACATGATCTAATCCGATTATGTAATCCGTTTCTTCTTTTGAAAAACCCATTTTCAAGATTTGATCCAATCCGTTATCCAAAATCCTAGTGGATTACTTTTGAAAAACCGGGCCCAAGATATCCCGGCTTAAGCCCTTATCCTAGTTTTGTGCAATAGGCCCCTGGCCCCTGGTAGTTTACCGAAGTAAACAGTTGATGAGGTGACATATTTGGGTTTGGCTTTGTTCAGGATGAACCAATGTCCAATGACTCATACAGTATGCGCTAAATGACACATTAGGCAAAAACTATTGTATTTAAATATGCTTTAATTTATTAGCATTGGAAAATGTACTGCATAAAAGGATTATAAAGTCTAAAACATATTTGCAATGTATTTTCTGTATAATAATGTGGTTTCCATAAAGTATTAATTCATATTTTCATGTTTGTTTTTTTGTTTGACACAATATAGTTGTGATCATATTAAAAAGGTAAATTTATCGGGTGTTTATTCATTTTACAGGTTCACACATAATGTTTCCATTTACAAAATTCAGAAATGTTTTAAATATACTGTACTTGTACATAATATACGTTGTTTTCTGGCGCGATCTGCAGATGACGCTGTTGTTCTGTTGTCAGAAACTTGTGGCGCACAGTGAAACGTCATCACGTTGCTCACTCTTCTTCGGTGAAGGCGGTCTTCATGCGGGAAAACAAAGTTGTTGGTATCGTTGAATGGTCCAGTTTACCTTTACCTGCAGCGTTTTGTTGCGGTTTTCCACCTGAAAGACGAATTTAACTAATGCGGGTAAATGCTACATACAACATTTATGGGTAGCCGTATAATATGTAATCTCTAGAGGCTCTGCCGTATTTAACTGGGTCCCTGTTAAAGCTAACGGTTAAGCTTGCTAAACTTGCGTCGCAAGTGAAACTTGTTTTCCGTTTCATATACCACGAAATTTTGAGGCAAAGGTGCATTAATCCACTGACATGGCATCTACCGTGATGTCCCTTTTGAAGCTTATACTAATATTATTGATATTTTTCGCAATCAGTCAAGAAATACAGAAACTGTTAACGTTATGTTGTCTTGTGAACATTACAGGTCCAATTTATGGCATTGTTGACAGCTGAATTACTGTCAAGCTCCCAGACAAGGAAGTATAATTTAGTAAACATGTTTTTTCTTTCAAAATTTTTGACTAGTACTGCAGTTTAACAGCATCCCTCAGCTCTACGTTCTGTGTTTTGGAGTATTCCTGATTCCCTCTGGCAGTGAAGCATATAGTATCATCTAACCTTCTGCCTACCTGCAGGTGTCCCTGACGTCTGGAGATCTTCCTCAGAGTCCATGGAGTCAGGAGGAGCTGGATCCCTGCCGTCGGACACGAGGCCAGTCGAAGTCTTCAACTCCATTCGTGAGCGTACGATCGCAGAGAATAGCATGGTGGTCCTGCTGCAGGGTCTGCAGGGGGAGGTGACCACGGTGGACCTAAGGAACGAGAGCACGGCACGGGGACGCGTGGTCAACGTGGATGCATTCATGAACATACGTCTGGAGGAGGTGGTGTACAGGGACTGGCGGGGTAACGACACTCAGATGCAGGACCTGTTTATCACAGGCAGAAACGTCCGGTACGTTCACATCCCCGACCACATGGACATAACGAAGACTATCCAGAGCCAGCTGGCCAAGATCCACCGAGTCCGCAACTTTGCCAGTGAAGGAGGAGGCAGAAAGGAGTTCGCCAAGAAAACAAAATAACTTAAGGTTAAGACAAGTCCAAAATGACTTGGAAACAACAAGAAGTTTTTTCCCCCCTTCAGATCTGAGGACAAACCTCTCTCTAGATCAACTGTTTACAACCTGAGAGGGTCACAAAATTATTTATGGGGTAATAAAACATTTTAATTGCACCAAAAATATTTTTTTTCTGACTTTTTCTTATTGTGAAATAATGGAAATGTTTACCTCTTCAGACCTGTAAAATCCATAAAGGGGGGTGGGGGTTCGCTCTTTGGTTGAACTGCACACAGCCTATACACACTGTGGCCATGACCTGTGATGAGTCACAGGTTGACACTGATTCATTTTAAGGGATCAAAAGGTTGAGAATGTAGCTGGACAGATTTATCAGACTGATACCAATCACAAAATTAAAACTAAATGAAAATCAAGTGCTGTATATTGAGTGAGATTCCTTTTTTAACACAACTGTTATTTTCATTATTGATTAATCTACTGATTATTTGATGGAATTGATTTGTGGTATTGATTAATCCTTTGTCTAAGAAATATCACAAACTGTGACAATGCCTATCATAATTTCAGAGCACGTGGCTAATAATAAAGTGTTACAGTACAACTTCACTGTAGTACATATAAATGGAGCATGCTGCACTTAGGTGAGGGTGGGTGTGGTTCACACTGTCAGTGCTTTGCTCTTTAGTAACCCTGGCACCCACCACAAAGCTCATCTGTCTGAGACCAGCCCAAAGTTAATACCTGCCCATATGCAGGAAAACATTAGTCACGACCAGTGCCAAAGTGGTGAAGGGAAAAACAAGCAGGCGTGTTTCCACATCTTCCATCTCACAAACAGTCACATCAGTGCATGCATCACCCACTCCTGTGACTGGTGGTGTGGCCTCCAATTGAGGACGGGAGCAGAGCGACTGAAAGGAAGCGAGTGTTTGCTTGGAAACTGCCATCCCAGTGTTTTTCCAAATGCACAAATATGTTGGGGAATTTGAGGAATTTGCAAAGGGGTATGTTATTCCTACACAGTGTCAGGAAGTGGCCTGACACAACACAGGCAGAGGCAGCCAGTGCAGATAAACTCTGCATTGTAGATGGATAGGTGTGGTCACCAGCTGTATCATTTGAACTGAGTGAAACACTGCATTAAATTAAGAGCAATATGCACATGGGAATGTCCCTTGGCAGTTGGATCATTGTTTCGGCTGTGGCCTATGTGTTTTTTAGGCACATATTTTTCTCTTGACTACTATAAAACCAACCTTGAGTGTGTCAGAATGACAGCAGCCCACATAATGACTGCTTAGTGCTAAAAACACCACCGAGCGCCACATCAACACAAACTAATCTCTGAATAGACTCTACCGCATAAACAATTCTTTTACAATGGAAAACACAGCCAAGTTTAGTGCCGCAGAGTCCACCAGTGGTCAGAGAAGTACTCAAAAATATCAATACAACAAGTAAAAGTCCTGCATTATACTTGTTATTCACACCTTTAGCTGCTAGTTGCATTGCAGGTTTAGATTTTACATGCAAAATACTAAAGTAGCCAACATCATGCAGTAGTATTAAAAGTAGCTCCACCTGAGCCTAGTACAACATTTTGGGGTCATTCTGTATCATGAGTACTTTTAATTCTGAGACTTTTAAGTGCAGTTTGATGATAATACTATGTCATTTATGTCAACTTAAAGTTGTAATGGGGTAGTTTTACACTGTGGCTTTACTAGTTATAGGAGTATTCCACTAATAGTTAATACTGATGCAGTATTTTACAGTTGTCGCTGGAGCTAGCTTTAACTACTTTATGTTTGGTAATTTAGCACAGTGGTTCCCAGTTGAGGGGTCAGGCACCTCTAAAGGGTCACCAGATAAATCTGAGGGGTCCAGAAGATGATTAATGGAGTACCAAAGAAGAGAAAACTAATTCTATTGCACAAGCCAGTTTTTGGATGTTTTTCCTAATCTTTTGTGAAATACTCCATGAAAAGCACATGAGACGTGTAGAGAATAAATGTTCATAACAACTGACCCCTACTGAGGTCACTCCAAAGGGTCAGAGAAAAAAAGCTGAGGGGTCATGGGATGATTTATTGGAGAGGAAAGAACAGACATGGACCTAACTCTTGCCTTTTGTTGTTGTCATTATCTTTTTATAAAATACTGGATCATTTTACCTCTTTGGTCCTCGAACATTTATTCAAACTAAACTGACAGGAAACAACATTTGAAACATGATGTGATGAGCCAAAAAATGTTGGGAACTACTGTCTTAATCCAGGCGACCTTACAGTTTAGTTTATTTAGTTTTCCTTTACTTAACCAGACAACATCTCTTTCTCACTTTCTCACAAGACACCTGGCTAACAGGATAGCATTAAAACAATGTTACAACAATAAACAAGCAAAGAAACTGTTACAGGCTACAAAGGAGTATAGACAATATCCAATTAAGATACAGTAAAAGCCTGTTTACACAGTGATTATGTCTCACAACATACAAATACAGTGGATATACTGTACTGGATATACACCCACATCTATGCCACTATATAGAAAATAGATAAGTAGAAATATAAAGATGTACAAAACTGTTAAGTACAATGCAGGACTACATGTACTTAGTTCAACAGCAGCACCCACTGAGCTGCTCCACTGTTTAACTACCTGTGTCAGGGACATAGACTGTTGCTGCTGAGATTAAAAGACAAAGAGCTCAATTAAGTCACAATCCCCTGCAGCATTGCGGCTCCATGCCTGTGGCAGTCGGCTAGCCATTTCCTGTTCCACCCTCCTAGCTTCACAGTGAACAGCCCTGGCTGTGCTGTAGCTGCACAGGGCAGACATTAGCTCCCTCTGGGCAGCAGTGAGGCTCAAATCTGCAGAGGCAGATTAAATCTAGTACATTTCTATAAAACCGAGGACTCTAGTGTGGTTTACAGTTTGGGGCTTTTATTTTGGAGCTAGATGCCAGTGGCAGATGCATGAGTTTCACTTTATCTCTCAGGAAAAGGAAACGCCTCCTTCTGAACATCAGTCTGGACGGTCTCTGGCTGGTCCACCTCCCACTGAGAGATGAGAGGGATTGCTCACTCTCTAGTCCAGCAGCATTTTGTTTATTAGCTCTACTGTCACAAACCGAGAGAACAACCTTTCACTGCTTCTCTATACAAATCATGAGATCCTATCCAAGAGTGGGATAAGAGACCAGGTTCAAATTTGGATCTAAATCTTTTTTCCAGTGGCTGACAAGCTGTGCAGCTCTCATCTGGGACCAAGGTGAGTGATGTTCTCACAAGGATTTTATGTTTATTGTTTACAATTGTTCTTAAAATACATTTAATTCTCACATAAATCAAGCTTTTATTACACATTCCATGAGCTGTCAGACCTTTGGCACAAAGTCAGATTTTTTAGCTTTTTTTTTTTTAAATATATTCTCAAGGATCTTGCCAAACTAGCTGCTCTGCTGTCAGGCAGTAAACAAGGCAACAGACTAGTTTATCAGAGTTTGCAGCGTGTTCTTTACAAAGCCACAGATCACAAAAGTCTTTATATATGCTGCAACATGCCCAAAATCATCAGTTCACAGAGAAAAACCATCTGGTCTTGAGCCCATTTTATTCACTTTCTACTGTGCTTCTGAGAGACTCTAGACATTTGGTTGGTAAGTCTGATTTTCAATGGTTTCATGTTTCATCTTTTGACTTAAATAGGATTATCCAAGCAGGAAATGTGGGAGGGTAGAACGAGAGTGTGTTTTATGGGGCCAAAAACAGCTACAGCTGCAGGGCTTTTGCATGTGTGCAGTTAAGTCACAAAGTTTCTGGGCTTGTCTGGAAATGTTAGGTGTTAAATCCGTCTGCCTGAGACTGTGGCTGCACTAAATGGATATTTGGCTCCCTTTGGTATTTGTGTTGTGCGTCCGGCTCGGGAAAACTTCACCACAAAATGTCTGTCACGCAGTTCTGTGGAGTGCTGCATTAAAGTAAATGTATTGTTATTCTGTTAGTCTAAGCAGGAGTGTGTGCTTCTACAAGGACGTACAAACAGTCAACTGAACATTAGACACACTGCAAAAAAAACCCATCCTCTCTATTGATAATTTTGTTATAAATGTGTTTTTCTAAACAGGAGAAAAATATCTGCCACTGTAGTGGTATCATTTCAACCTGTTTCCAATAGGCAGGTTTCTAGAAACAGGCTGAAGCTTCATGCAGGTTGTTGCACAATTTTAAAACAAACTAAACCTTATTTTGCAAAGAACTTAAAAATAAATATTACAGAAGTAGAAATAATAGATATTTAGTGCACTTGCATGAATGTTCTTTTGTTTTAGGAAAATTACTTTAAAGGAATAGTCTGTCATTTCTGGTAAATATGTTTATTTGTACAAATAATTGTTTTTACAATTTGGTTTCAAAAAAATGAGATAACTTGTAAGTTAGTAAGCTTTAGAGGTGCTGGCAGATGGATTTTGTTTTTCGTTGACAAAGTCAATCCAGCTGTTTCCCCATTTCCAGTCTTTGTGCTAAGCTCAGCTAAATGCTTGCTAATTTAAATTTACCATACAGACATGAGAGTGGAATCAACCTTTTTTTCTCAGTCTTGGAAAGAAAGCAAATATTTCCCAAAATTTCCAAATATTTGAGCACTCAAATTGAAGACGAAAAGACTTGATAAGCAGCTGATATCTGCAGCACAGTATATTCTACAAGCTTGATAAACACTGGGTGCATGACTGGGGAGTCTTTAATTTAAATGAACATCGTTTGACCTTACATGAGCTCAACTGCAAACTACATTGTCCACTTATGTTGCTGAGGTCTGCATGAAGCAAATTAAGGGTGCAGAAGCAGTCACACTTGTTTAAATGCCAAAAAGAAGGCAGCACTCGTTAAGACCCACCAGTTCCCATGAGTCAGCCACCAAAGCGACTACCAGTGTAAAGGCTCCTCTAAAAAAAGAAAAAGGAAAAAGCCTTTGAGAGTGCACAGAGTCTGCCAAGAACTGCCAGGATAAAGATCAGGGTGGGAGAGCAACCCAAACCCCCAGTGGCAGCAGCTGGAGCAGGGCATTATTTTGTTCTCCACAGAGAGAAGCAGTAAGAGAAAAAACATTCAGCTGCCACACACATTGTTGTTGTAAAGACAGGGAATATGTGGCGGTGGGAAATATCAGTCAACATGTTTACATTAAGCCCTACTATAACTGTGGGACCTTCCGTGACAAGGCCATTTACCAAATCCCCCACTTTAGCCTTTCTCACTCTCTTAAAAGGGTCAATTCAAGGTTCTGCAGAAAGTAGTTCAACCACGGTCTGGGTATTATCCGGAGTAACTAGGAACAATGTTTCTGAAAAGATCACTTTGGCAAGCCATTAGTGACTGGTGATTTACTAACCCTTAACAAAAATAGAAAAGATACAACTTACCTAAAAAAAATTGTCCTTTTAGAAAGTTGCACCATCATTCAAAACCTGGTCAGAATTAACCAATCCAAAAATATATATTTTTTGGCTATTTAGGTGAGCTGGCCCTTAAATTCACGTTTTATTAGCTGTTTATGTACCTGAACACGTAATTCAAAGTCCAAGCAACATGTGAAATCTGTTAATTGGTTTAGATTACAGCCTTTTACCACCTTTAATTTGAGCTTCAAGATTAAAAATTGACACTATTGGACTTTATTAAAGCATATCAGATTCAGATGCTAACATCTGAAACACCAACCATGCTAACTAACTTGCGCTTTTGTTTTAACAGGATCTGCCTGTGGACGGGGTCCAGGAGTTAGGAGTGTAAAACATCCTGGAGATGGTAGATATCTGAAGCCACAGTGAACCAGAATGGAGCCTGTTAAGAGAGACATGGAGCTGCTCAGTAACAGCATGGCGACCTACGCTCATATCAAAGGTTAAACCTCAACTGTGGTCACCAACCTAGGGCTCGGGACTCCCTGAAGGGGTCACAACATGAATATATGGGGTCACAAAATCCCTACCTGTATAGGAAATGAGAAGAGCAACATTGTGAGACAGCAAAGCTTATGAACTCTGTAGTACCCAGTTCTTTAATTCTGAATGCTCTGAATAACGGAGTCCATGTTTCTTCATCTAGTGCTGGTTTATTTTAACCACAAGCAAAATTACAAACATGACCCGGTTTAATGTAGTGTTATGAAAAGCAATCAGTAGCTAGAGTTGTCAGATAAATAAAAAGTACAATATTTCCCTCTGAAATTTATTAGAAGTATAAATAAAAGTACATCACAACTGTACTTACTGAACCACTGTTGTGTTCTTCTGCCCTCACAGCCAATCCAGAGAGCTTCGCCCTCTACTTCATGATGGGTGTCTGTTTGGGTCTGCTCATGGCGCTGTGTCTCCTGGTGGGTGTTATCGCCTGCAGGACTCGTCGCCACAGCAGACCTCCCCCTTCACCTGAGAGGAAACAGCTGAAGGAGACCAGTGAGGAAGAGGAGGAGGATGAGGAGAGCATCACAGAGGAAGACGGGGAAGAGGCAGAGATCCCCAGACACACAGTAGGGCCCATGAGTGATCACAGCAGCCTGACTAATGGTACTCTGAGGAGTGTGAATGTGTTTGCTTCACATGAGGAGCTGGAGAAGGCAAGACGGCTGGAGGAGAGGGAACGGATCGTCAGGGAGATCTGGAGGAACGGGCAGCCGGACATCCTGGTCACAGGGACGGGGACGATGGGACGAGTGCATTACCACTAAGAGACTCAGACTGCAAAGGGAGCAGCACTCTGGACAGAGTATTCTCATCTCAATTTGTATGGCGACCCAAACAGATCAACAGTAAAGAGGCTCTTCATTGCGTTTACACATTAAGATGAGTGCACTCATAATGAAGCTGTATTGGAGAGATAGAATAGGAAATAATAACCTCAGGATTAGCTCAGGTTAGGCTTTGGACTACAAACTGGGGCGGCAGACGTGAGGGTTCAGCGGCAAATTCTTCTTACATTCTTTTTTTAACCAAAGAATATTTGTGAATTTGATAAAATTACTTAAACAACTAATTTACATTTTCTTTTGATCAACTAAGTTTGGCTCTGGAAAGCTTTGATGGGAATGTTTCATCATTTTTAAATGAAGAAAACGATCTCTAATAATCTAAAGAGAAAATTGTCATTAGCTGCAGCCCAGACTGGTCAGAGAGGCAGTTTCTCAGTGGGAGAATCTCGGCAGAGGAGACTTTTCCCACAGAAACCTTCCAGTTTCGTCCCAGCACTGATTGTATCTCTGACCTGTCACTTCCTGTGTTTTCCTTCCCACAACTCCAAGTGAAGATTTTCCTGCATCTCACATTTTGTCTGTTCATGTCTTTGCTTGTACAACATCTTGATTTCTTAAAAGCAGATAACTTATCTTTAAAAAAAAAAAAATTACTCTTTTTCCATTACATTTTTTCCAGATGACTGATTTGACTTGTTGGTCACAGGTTTTATATTTTTCTGATGGCACAACAATGTCACTCTTAAATTGTATATTTCCACTAACTTAGTTACTTGAACAAAAAAAGGACACTGACCATCAGCTCTATGGCACTACGGTGTTTGTGTTCACCAGCTTCCACCGTCCATGAGTTTTTACCAAGGCAGGAGAGATATAATATCAAAACAGCCCAAACACAGTGAAGAAATCTTCGTTTCTAAATAAATCTTGCTTCATCACTGGATACATGCAAAAGCAGGCCTATCGAGGAATTGGCCGGCAAGACGTCACCTTGACCGCCTCTACTGCTCCACCTCATGGCCAGTTACGGGCATTTGTGATCTTTTTACATTTTCATCAGTAACTCATGACCTGTGCACCTAAGGATCCTAAAGGACTGTACTGAATTTCAGCTCATGTTCCTCCCTTTTCATTAGCAAACACATTGCCATCAGTCATTTTCATCACTGTACAAGAGTCCTGGACTTATAAGGGTTCAAAATATATCTTTTTTGTTTGTTATTGCCCCTGGTGGGATTAATAAAGTTTTCTGATTGAGCTTTTTGAATGTGGGAAAACAAATAGGACGCAAACACACTATCGCCATTTGTTTTCATTGTGGAAAATGTACAAATCACACCCACAAAACTGCCCTGAATCAAAGAAAAATTTATTGAAAATTAAAAGACAAGTACATCAAAGCTCTTGAGAACAGTAAAAAAGTTTTCAGCTTCTGATTAAACAAAAACAACTAAACAATCCTACAGTTGTTTAGTACATGCAGTATGTAAAGTCAAAAGTGGGTCAAAGCAGCACAGTGAGATTCACACCTAGTTCACAGCTAGCTTGTGTCATCTCCTTTTGTCACACGTTCAGGTTTCTCGTCACGTTTTCTAGAACAGTGACAGAAGATGAAACTGCCGGTGTTTGTTGTGAGACAGTTACTGCAGGTTTGTGTATTTAAAATTTTTTTCCCCTCTTCCCAGCAGTCAAGATGACAATAATTTAGGTCTTATAATCCTATAAATGTATTAACCTTTTGGAATAACTACTCATTCCTTTTTTTTTTTTAAACAAAAGGTAGCCACCTACCTACATTAACATGACAGAGGCAGACGAGCTACATGTCTTTTGTTTCACGTTTCTTTGCTTCAGTCTAAAGCAAATCAGGGGAATTTGGTGCTAATTATTTTCAATTTACACTTGTTTTGAACTAAAAACACCTACAACCAACTCCAATATACTGTAGCGCGCACACACACACATAACAACGTCTTTGCTTCCTAATGAGAAAACTGGTGAAGTGGCACCATTTAGAAAAGCTCTGATAACCTAACTGACAAACATCAACCGTCCAGGGGTTTACCAATAATCAAAACAGGTCGTTGATCATTTGCGATGACAAGTCGGGAGCCAGGCTACTGATTGGTCCAATGGAGCAAGGTATGAATCAGACATTTCATGCAGTAACATCAAAGATTTATGAAACTGGGAAAAAAAAACAAAAAAAAAACATTTGTTTCCACATTGACGAACACAAGTATGGAGATGTACCTGTCACACCTTCAAACTGATCACACAACACATTACTGTTTGATTTTCTAAGGCACAAATTTTCTTACTTTGCAATGTATTCAGATTATAAATTTCTTTTAACTGTGTTGCCTCAGTATTTTTCCCCATTAAAACAGTTAAATCTGCAGAACAAGGACAAATCTTGCTCTGGGTTTACACTGACCACAGAGCTGCTTGTCCTTCTTCACTTTAACAGTGAGAAGGTTCAAACTCCAGGGGGGGGGGGGGGGGCTACAAAGAAAAAGAACCCTTCATCATCACTCTAACCATTCTGACAGACACTGACCAGTAGGTGATAGGGTGGAGCAGCTTACTGCTTTGGGGCCGTGGCGTCTCCAGGGTTCTTGGCTTCTTTGTGTTCGATCTCAATGTTGTCGTCTCCCAGTTCCCCCTCTTCTGCTCCTTGGAACATGTCGTGGGTCCACTTGGGGCTGCTGCCCCCCTTACGGTAGACGAAGCGTCCCCGGCGAGGTGGGAAGGAGCCTCGACCTCTACCGCGGTTGTCGATCCAGGTTTTCTCTCCATCACGATCATCGTGCTTGAAGGCAACAATGTTAAAGATCAAGGTGTCAATAAGAAAATCCTTTCCACAGTAGGATGATTAAGCCGGAAGCTGGTCAAGCACAGATAACAAAATCACTAATGAAGAAGGGACTCAGAGTATAACTTCATCATATGTATTGACACACTTTAAGCATTTTTACAGGTAATAAAAAAATTACTACTTTATAGTAATAATAAATAAGCATGAAGTAGTTTTACTGGTCCAGAACTAGGGCTGCAACTAACGATTATCTTTATTTTAGACTAAGCTGTCAATTAAAAATCAGAATATAGCACAAAATGTCATGTTTTAAATCCCAAGGTCAAGTTAATTTATTTTAGAAATAAAATTTTCAAATCAATAAAAGAGCTGACCAATCATCTCTGCTCTTTTTTTGTGCAAGTCACTTCTTCAGTCAAAATTATAGCCTTTATTCTGGTTAAAATTATAATAATTATTTACATTAAGTTTAATGTTAAGTTGCTGTATTGTGTTTTGTCCAGTGGTGCAAAGCCGCTTTCCTTCACAACAGCTGCAGTGCTACCATTTTCACCACAGGGTGGAGACATGAGAACTACTGCCAACACGACCACCGAAGAAAACGTCCAATAGAATGTAACGACCTCTCAGAGGCGACGTGTAGGAGGAAACACTAAACCAGGACACTGACAAGGCCAAAAAAAATTCCAGAGAAGTTGACTGACTTGATTGTGGCAGATGAACAGCCCACTTCTGTAGTATGGAGCCTTCGGAGCCACAGTAGTCAGTATTAAATGACCAAAACTGTTCCAACCTTGGCAGAAACTACGTTCATAAGAACCACCATTGATCCTATTAAGAAGCTAAGTGGTAAAATCGATAGATTCAGAAAATTTTCCGGGACTTTAAACTTGCTTCACTTTGTGTCAGCAGTTTTTTTTAAATTATCTGCTTAGTCATAAAGCAGAGATAGTAAATTGTTAAGGTAAAGAACTGTGCTGTTTTCAGACTTGTAAAGTTGTTAAAAAGCATATAATTCACATTCACAGCCTGAATGAATGCTCCCTGGATTTGTGCCCACATACTGACCTATAAGTATAGCATAACAATTAATGTTCATAAATTAAATTAATCAATTAGTAAGTAGCTGCAGAGACTCACCAGGTAATACTTTCTGCTCTTGGGAGTATACTCAGGATCCCACTCCTCCTCTGGTGGGCGCACTGGAGGATTAATATTGGCAGGGTTTCCATTGCTGCTGTTGCCTGGATAATTTCCCCTGTTCCAGCCTCTGCCTCTGACTCTGGGGAACTGAAAACAGGACAACAGGTGGATTTCAACTTGCAATCAAGACACAAGTACCTTTGTACTAAAGGATGGAAGGATATTTAATAAACCTGGTCCAAGTTAAAGTCAAACATCGACCCAGGGACGATGAGACCGACGAACAACACAAATAAAATGATGGAAATCAGGCACTAGTTTAGTGATGAGGTGAGATTCCACTGATTCGCGCTACATTACCTTAATAAAAATCAGGTAGTGCATGGAATATGTATGATAGAGTGTCATCATCATTATCATCATCATCCACATTATGCTCCTTAGTATTAGGAGGAAGGAACAGAGCAGAGAAGCGCAGTCTACTGTGATGCCATTAGGACAGAGAATTGCAAGAAGATGTCAGTACTTCAGTGAAAACCAAATGCAGCAGAAGAAATGAACGGCGTGTAGGCAGGAACTTACAAATCCACGACCTCTGCCTCTCTCTGGGTTGTAGCCTTCATAATCTCGAGGGCCTCTCTCCCCAGCCCCACTGTAGTCGCGTGGAGGATAACGTGCATGAGGGTAGCCCTCCTCCAAGTGCTCCATCCCCTCCCCCATGTACTCTTTACCTCTGAAAGGTGGAGGATAAGGGGATGGAGAAGACGAAGAGGAAGAGGAGGATGGAGAGCGATCTCGCTTCTTTTTACCCTTCCTGTGAGATAAAAAAAGTGATTTTCTATAAAATGGCTACAAGTTTTACAAGCATAAAAGTGACATCAAAAATATGGCAACACTGTTTTACAAAAAAGTGCAACATGTGGAAAGATCAAAATTTCTACCTATTCATCCTTCACAATAAAAAAAACAAAAAACAACAAAACATACACCAATCCCTTCACAGAAAGCCTGATAGCTGGCTTC